GAGGGAGGGAGGGAGGGAAGAAGGGAGGGAAGGAGGGAGGGAGGGAGAAGAAAAGATAATACTGAAGTTCACAGCATTTTGGCAGGCTCAAGCAGCCCTAGAGGCCCATGTCTTCCATTCTAGAATGTCTCCCACCCAAACTGCAAGTCCAACTCTCCAGGTCATGAAATCTTCTGTTGCCCCCACCACCACCATTGTCAGCACTGCACACTGCCCAAAGCATTCCTTCTGAGAATGACTACCCAGCACTGCCTAGCAAACTCTGTGGGATGCAACTTCAACCCACAATGTCATCCCATTGCACTCTACTCATCCTTCTCCAACTCCACCACACCTCCCACACCATGAGCTGTTCCTGCTACCTAGAAAAGTTCCTTCCCCATACTTCACAGCCTCACTCATCTGCAGGGCCCACCCTTGACTCTGTATCCTTGGCAATATCCTAAGTGAATCATCAGAAGTATCTGTGCACAACTAGAATGAACCGCTGGCTACTGAACTGTCTATAAACCATGACATCCCTTGCCAAATTGTCTTCCTGTGTGCCTACACAGGAACTCCTTACAGGAAGGGAACCTATATTAGCTTTGCAGTCACTCAGCAAAAATCCTAACTTGAACCAGCTCATATGGTATCCTCTCTCGGCTGGCTTGCAGTAGAATGAAGGAAAACCTTGATAGTTTCTTCCTCTTCAGCATGTTCTTACCCAGATCTGGGAAATTTATTCAGTCCATTGTAATCCTGTTTGGGGTCCAAGGCTATATGCCCCACCCAGCCCCACCCGGCCCCACCCAGCACCACCATGCAGAGGTTCTCCTCACAGCATCCCAACTGAAGGTTACCACCTCATCAGTTGGCTCAGAGATCTGGGTCCCATACATCCTTGAAACCTGACATCAGGATTTCAGGCAACGGCTTAAAAGATAATTAAGATTCTTCAAGTCAATCAGTGGAAATCAGTTGTTCAGTTTGTAATCTCAGTTCCTTTATCTTGCCTTCAATGGAAAAAGTGTTCAAAGGTACTCATGTTCTCAGGGCTTGTCCTGGGAGGATGGGGGCCAGGCCCCTCCCCATATGTGCTCCTTCAGGCCTACCTACCACAGGGCTTGTCCCCAGCTTCGAGAGCACTATGTGTTTGCACAGTCTGTGTTGGCAGTCTCCACTCAGCTTTTGCAAAACCCAGGCTCACTTGTGCATTGGCCCACTCTGAGCTAGTTGGGGCTAGAAAGAGTTGAATTCCCAGGAAGCAGTCAGTCCTACAGCCTGACCTCTTAGGGACAAACTTTTCCCACACTGGGCCATTCAGAAAATTCTGTATAGAAAAAAATCAGGAAGCACTAGACACATCCTTTGAATTTGGCCTTAAAGGGCAGGGACTATGAAGGAAGAAAGTTAGCAGTAGTGCCTGTGGGAACCCAATGCCATCACTGCAAAGAAAGGGACAAACACATTAATTCCCATAGGGGCTGTAGGCTGGACTTCCTAAACAGTCCCTTCAAAGGGAGACAGTACTGCACTTGGCCCCAAGTCAAGCAACTGGAGGAGGCCACATGGTAAATGTTTCAGGCAGGGATGGACCACCAGCCATTTCTTCCTGGTGACTCAGACCCTTGACTATCAATTCCTCAAAGACCTAACTGTGACTTTCTGGGGCAAGTTTCTAATGCTCCTGGCACACAACAGATTCTCTAACACCAGGTGGGAGTGTGGATGGAAGGATGCTATAAGAAGGAGGAAGAATGGAAGGAAGAGTCTGAGAGCCAGGCAGAAATGATACTGTTCAAAGTGCTATTTCTACAATGTTCTGAAGATAAAAATAAAAAGTGTACCAGTGAGCTGCCTAAGTAGGTAAAGGCACTTGCTGTATGACCTTGAGAACCTGAGTCTGACCTCCACCAGAAGAGAGAGCTGACTAGCCAAAGTTGTCCTCTGACTGTAGAATGTGTGCATGAGTGCACACATATGCATACACACATATACACACTAATAATAATATATTTTTAAAGAACA